TGCTGCTTGGCCTGCTGTGTTCATCCAGCCCTGCACCTTGTTGTCTCGGATTCTCCAGCATCTGCAGTTCCTACTATCACAGATTAATTGGTATTCATTTACCAATTGCAGCAACCCAGTTTTCTCTCACGTGTCTCATTGTCTTCTTTCAGTGGAACTTCTTTTGTGTCAATTTCTCCCATTTTATTCCTGTCTCTTTTTTTTTTAAACTCTCCGCTGGCCACAGTGACATGACAGAGAACTAGAGGACAGCTGATGTGGTTCCACTTTTCACAAAGGGTGATAGCGTCAGACTAGGGAATTACAGGGCAATGAGTCTCACATCATTAGTAGGGAAACCCTTGGAGAAAATTCTTAATCTCCACTTGGAGATGCAAGGTTTTGTCAGATAGTCAGCATGGCTTCGTCAGAGGGAGGTCAGCTTTATAAATTTGAGGAGGCGGCCAAGTGTGTAGATGAGGCTAATGCAGTTGATGTCATTTATATGGATTTTGGCAAGGCCTTTGACAAGGTTCCACATGGGAGAGTGATACAGAAGGTAAAAGTTCACAGGATCCATGGAACTAAGCAAGGTGGATCCAAAATTGGCTTAGTGACAGGAGACAGAGGGTGATGGTAGAAGACAGTTTGTGCGACTGGAGACAGATGTACAGTGGCATACCACAGGGATCAATGCTAGCTGGGTCTTTTATTGTTTGTGATATATATAAGCAATATAGAAAAAAATGTGTAAGGGAATGATAAGTAAGTTTGCAGACCATGTGAAGGTTGACCAGATAGTTAACAGCAAGGAAGAAGGTCTTAGGTTACAGGAGGATATAAACAGATTGATCAGATGAGTGGCGGATGGGATTTAACCCTGAAAAATGTGTTACTTCTTCCAAAGTGCAATATGAAAGTACTGGATGTATGCTGCACACTAGGAAGCTCAGAGGAGCAGAGAAATCCACAAATCACTGAAGACAGAAGGGTAGGTTAATAGGGTAGTTTAGGAGGAGTACAGGTCTCTTGCCTTTGTCAGTTGAGGCATTGATTATAAGAGCAGTGAGAGAATGTTGGAGCTGTATAGAACTTTGGTTCGGCCACAGCAGGAGTACTGTGGGCAGTTCTGGGCACCCCACTATCAGAAGGAAATGATTGTACTGGAGGGGGTACAGAGGAGATTCATCAGGATGTTGCCTGGGATGGAGCATTTCAGCGATGAGGAGAGACTGGATAAGCTCAGGTTGATTTATTTGGAGAGGAGGGGTTTGAAAGGGGACCTGATTGAAGTGAATAAGATGATGCGGGCTAAGGACAGGGCAGATAGAAAGCAGCTACAAAAACAAAGTTGCTGGAAAAGCTCAGCAGGTCTGGCAGCATCTGTGAAGGAAAAAAGAGTTCACGTTTCGGGTCCAGTGACCCCTCCTCAGAACGGATCCTTCCTCAGAAAGCAGCTGTTCCCCTTAGTTGAAAGGTCAGCTATGAAGGGACATGGGTTCAGGATGAGGGGCAGGAAGTTTGGGGGGATTTGAGGATATTGATTTTCACCCAGAAGGTGGTGGGAGTTTGGAAGAGTCGTTGAGGTGGGAAGGCTTACAACCTTTCTAAAATACTTGGATGAGTACTTGAAATGTCACAACATTCGAGGCTAGGGACCTAGTACTGGAAAGTGGAGAGAGTGCAGATTTAGAGCAGTTTTTGTTGGTGCAGACTCGATGGACTGAAGGGTTTGTTCTGTGCTGTATGATTCTGTGATTGTATGCCTTCCTGTTCCTGTTGCTTTGAAGGCAAGGATGTGAGTGAGCACGTGAGAAGAGGGACAGCTTAGTTGAGTATAGGGTTCGGAGGGTGAGGCGCTAGTGAGTGAGAGGGATATGGGTAGCTGCAAGGAGACGCTGAGTGGGTGAGAGCTCGGTGAGAACCTGCTTAACCTCCTGCTGCTGCCATGTTCCACTGCAGCTAGCAGTGAGCATGTTTCACCTTGCTGGCTGAAGGCCTGAGCAGTGTAGACTTCACTTTCTAGTAGGACTGGAAAGTATTGAAGACAATACTGGATACTTTTTACAGCAATGAAATGTTATCCTGTGTTTCTCTTGATTAAGGAAACAAACACCCCACCACAAACCAAATGGTCTCCAAGAGAGGAAAATCAGAGTATATCTAGAGAGAGAAATTTTAGGAAATTCCTCTCCACACTGCAGTGGTAATAGGAACTCGTCAAGGTGCTCATGACCCTGACTGCTTTCAATCACTGCCTGCTATATAATGTACACTCCATTCATTCAAGAACAGCTCCAACTCTCTCACTTGAAAGAATTCATTGAGTCCAATGCACACAACAGTAGCAGGCTCTACAGGGAACGATGTGGTACAATACTACTGGGTACAGGCCTGTCACTGTGTAACACTGGGATACGGTACCGGTGGGGACAGATCTGTCACTGTGTAACACTGGGATACGGTACCGGTGGGGACAGATCTGTCACTGTGTAACACTGGGATACGGTACCGGTGGGGACAGGTCTGTCACTGTGTAACACTGGGATACAGTACCGGTGGGGGACGGATCTGTCGCTGTATAACACTGGGATACAGTACCGGTGGGGGACGGGTCTGTCACTGTATAACACTGGGGTATAGTACCGGTGGGGACAGGTCTGTCACTGTATAACACTGGGGTACAGCACCGGTGGGGGACGGGTCTGTCTGGTGATGGTAAATGAATTGGTTAAACCAGTGTATAAAACCTGTGTAGGTGATGTGATGATTAAGGCTGTTGGATTATGTAATCACTTCTTGTTACTTGCTGATAACGATTCACCAACCCTGGAGAGCCCCTGGTGATACTTACAATTGTTCTTATTCAGTTATCGGCAGTCTCAATTACTGAACGTAAAATCTTGGATAATGTACAGTGTACATAAACAACCCATCCAGCTTCTGGACATTAAACAGATCAGTGAGCAGACAGTATGACGTTGTGCCTTTTAACCCTCTATCCTGAAGCACACTGTAACCTTGTGCAGTAGAGCTAGTTTTGTGTGTTGTAATTGCTTTATTACTCTGTGGTGTATTCCACACTGTATTTTTAAAATCATTTGCCCATAAAACAGTTCAGAATGTGGTAACTCTGAAATTATTTAATAATTGTGCCGTTGATCTTTTTTTTAACCAGGACTGGGCAAAATTGGCACCGATAGAGCAGTTGCAGATTAACAGCCTCCAGCCGAATGAAGCAGCTGCTTATCAAATGGTTGGAGAGAATGGAGCCCAGGCACCAGTGGAGGCTGGTGTATATACACAGGCCATGGAGAGAGTGCAGTCCACAGCAGGGTCAGCTGCATACAAGGTAGCCCCCAGTAAAAAATAAAGAATTTCATTTCTACAGTGCCTTCCAACACAAGTGTGATCTTGTTGTGATGCAGGAAACATAGCAGTCCCTATGCACAGCAAGATCCCACAATTAGCAATGTGGTAATGACAAGATATGTTTCTTCCTGGTGTTGATTGAGGGGGGAAAAAATATTGACTAGTGGAAGAGATGCTGCCCATCTAGAAACGGTCTGATGCAGTTGTTTATATCCACCGAGAGCTGATGTGCTCGTCAGTAGCTGCCATCTCTGACAGAGCTGCACCCCCTGTTTACCGCTCTTACACTTTCAGCTTGGATTATGAAGTTTAAGACTCTGGACTCAAACGCACAATTTTCTGACTCCTGAATGTGAGTATTAGGAACTGAGTCCCAAATAGCAACTTCATTCAAGGCAGTCCTTTAACTGAACCTGCAACAGAAGGTCCTGGGGTGGGAGGTGTTGGTGACCTGCCAAATTTCAACTGCAACTGAATTTCTACTGCCCATTGTTCACATCAATCCCATGGTAATGTGTGACCCCACACTGTGCAGTCAGTGATACAAACTCCCACACAGCTCCATGTGTAACAATTCTGGGCAATGACTAAATACTTCTGGTCTTTGGGGAAAAGTAGCAAATGTTTTGAGATAGCTCACCTCCTGAAATCAATGAAAGGATAGAACGAGGCTTGAATGTTATCCCACTGAGATTTTCATCCAAAAGATAAGAGACAGTTATGTGTGAAAGAAAGGTCAGAAGTCCTGTGACCTATCTCCTTGGGGCACTGGAGATCTGGTGAACTGATTGCACACTGCACTCTCACTGAGCATCAGTGTGTGAGTCTGACATTTTCTGTTGAGGAATTCTGTTGTGCAGTGATTAAACCCATTTTTCCATGAAGGATGCACAGATTATTCCTGACTCCTCATTATTCTGATCAGGAACCTCTGACTTTTTACTTGGCCTCATAACCCATTGGAAGGTCAAGTCACTTAATACATTCCCCTATATTTTTAACTGTGATTAATGTAAAGAGTCGTCATGGTTTGAGGTAAAGGAGGAATAATATTGTGCTGTGACTGTTACACATGGAGCTGTATGGGAGATTGTGATGACTGACTGCACAGTGTGGGACCACACATTACCACTGGGATTGATGTGAACAGATTATTTAACCTTGTGTATTTTAATTCCTGTTGATTCTCTCTGCTCCCAGCCAGTTGAGTGCTGTTTCCCTGCTAAGTAATATTAATAATCAAACTGCATCCACTTTGTTGTTGGGTGTTTGCAGCCACAGGTTGGAGAGATGAGTGCTCGTGAACATCTTGCCTTAACCTTGAGTCAAGGAATGAATGTGGATACACAAAGGAGCAGCCGGGATTCTCTGCATTGTTCAAGTGGTTACAGCACCCAGACAACGACACCTTCCTGCTCAGAGGACACCATCCCCTCACAGGGTAAGAAACTCCAATGAGACAGCAACGAAAGCTAGGATAGGCAACCGGAACCAGCAATGTACAGAGCAGGGTACAGTAACATCATGACTTACTGAATCACTAACCTGGGGCCTGGAATAATCCAAGTCCTGCAAGCAGAAACAGTGGGTAACATAGTAAAGTTTGCGGATGATACTAAAAGTGGTAGGAAAGAAGGCAGTGAAGAGGAGATAAAGAATTTACAGATGGATATAGGTAGGCTCAGAGAAGGGGCCAGAATCTGACAGACGGAGTTTAATGTGGATAAGTGTGAGGTTATCCATTCTGGCTGGAAAGAGAAACTGGCAAATTATTATTTAAACATGAAGCAGATTCAAAGTGCATCAGTGCAGAGGGATCTTGGGTGTCTTTGTGCATGAATCACAGTAAGTGGGTATGGAGGTGCTGCATATAATAAAGGCATTTGGAATCCTGGCATTTATTGTAAAAGAACAACATTATAAAAGTAAAGAAATGTTGTTACAATTATAGAAGGCATTGGTGAGACCACACCTGAAGAAGTGTGTCCAGTTTTGGTCTCCTTATTTAAGAAAGGATGTTGTGTCCCTGGAGGCAGTTCAGATGAGGTTCACCCGATTGATTCCAGGGATGAAAGGGCTGTCAGATGAGGAGTGGTTGAATAGTTTCGGCTTGTACTCACTGGAGTTCAGAAGAATGAGGCGGGTGATATGATTGAGATATGTAAAATGCTAAAGGGGTGTTGATGAGGTGGACGTTAAAAAGATGTTCCCCTTTGTGGGGCAGTCTCGAACAAGAAGGCATAGATATAGAGTGAGAAGAAGTAGGTTCAAAACTGAGATGAGGAGAAACTACTTCTCTCAGATGCTCATGAATCTGTGGAACTCACTGCCCCAGAGTGCAGTGGAGGCAGAATCAATCAACTGATTCAGGAAAGAACTAGATGTGTTTCTGATGAAAAGCGGGATAAAGGGCTGTGGGGAGCAGGCTGGAGAGTGGAAATAAGACCAGGATAAGATCAGCCATGATCATGTTAAATGGCACAGTGGGCTCGAAGGGCTGAATTTCCTGCTCCTAATTCCTATGTTCCTGAGTCATGTCATGCCTCCAGTGTGTGGAAATTAAATTCAGTTAATTATGTAAGCCTGTAACAACAAATTCATCAACTTCGAGCATGGAACTGTGCTGACATTATTTTTGGGAAAACATTGCTTTATTAATATCCTTTTTAAAAGAAAATGTCATCTCTCCTTAGTCTGGCCTACTTGTGACTCCAGACCCACAGCAATGTGCTTGACTCTTAACTGCCTTCAAAATGGCCAAACGAGATGCTATGTTTAATTCAGAAATCACTCTGGTGTGCTACAGAAGGTCAAGTAAGGGTCAGTAATAAAATCTGACCTTGTCAGAAACACCTACACCTTTATAAAGTAGTCGTGCAACAAGAATTTAAAAAGGTGCAAGTCTATTTTCAGGAAGTAATGCCGGTTGCATAATCAAGGCATTGCATCAAATATGAATTGACAAAAAAATTATTTGTTGATGAGAGAGCATTTGATTTCAGCAAAGCCTTTGACAAGATCCCACATAAGAGACTTAGCAAAGGCAAATGCGCACAGGATAATTTGACAAAGTGGATTCAAAATTGGTTCAGTTGATGAAGACAGAGGGTAATGACAGGAGACTGCTTTTACTGACTGGAAGCCAGTGTCCATTGGCGTACCATAGGGGTCTGTGCTGGGTCCTCTACTATTCACCATTTATATAAATGGCATAGATGACTGGGGGGGGAGGTTGGATCAGTAAGTTTGCAGATGACACAAAGATTGCTTGGGTTGTTAACAGTGAGGTTGTGTGTCTTGGACTACAAGAAGATATAAATGGGCAGATAAGTGGCAGATGGAACTTAATCCGGAGAAGTGAGGTGACACGCTTTGGAAGGATTAATTGGACAAGGAAGTATTCAGTGAACGGCAGAACACCAGGAAGTTCTGTAGAACAAAGGGACCTTGGAGTGTTTTTGAAGGTGGTAAGGCTTGTTAGTATGGTGGTGATAAAGCCGTTGGGACACTTGTCTTTAACGATCGTGGCATGGATTACAAATGCATGTTGGAGTTGTATAGAACTTTGATGAGCCCACGTCTATAGTACTGTGTGCAGATCTAGTCACCACACTATAGGAAGGATGTGATTGCACTGGAGGGGGTGCAGAGAGAGATTCACCAGGATGCTGGCTGGGATGGAAAATGAAAGCAATGAGGAAAGGTTGGACCGGCTTTGGTGGTTGTTATTGGAGCAGAGAAGATTGGGGGTGGGGGGGTGATCTGATTGTGATGTATCAGATTATGAGGGCCTTGGACAGAGTGGATAAGGAGCAGCTGTTCCCTAAGTTGAAAGGACAGTCACAAAGGGACACAGGGTTCACGGTGAGGGGCAGGAGGTCTGGGGGGGATATGAGGAAAAACATTTTTATCCAGAGGGTAGTGGCAGCCTGGAAGGGTGGTGTGGGGAGTTGCCTCACATCCCTTTAAAAGTACCTGGATGAGCACTTGGCATGTCATAACATTCAAGGCTATGGGCCAAGTGCTGGTAAATGGGATTAGGTTGAAGGTCAGGTTTTTCTCACATGTTGGTGCAGACTTAACTGGCTCAATGGCCTCTTCTGCTCAGTATGATTCTAGAACAGACAGAAAGATGTTAGGGAAACTAGGGAAAGTTTTTTTTTTAAATATGTCAGTTAGGTGTAGGTGTCATGAGCTGAGCCAGCATTTGTTGCCTATCGCTAACTGACCTCAAACTAAACTGCCCTTAGACATTTCAGAGGACAGCAAAGAGTCTTCCACATTGCCATAGGTCTGGAATCACATACAGGCCAGGCCAGGTAAGGATGACAGATTTCCTTCCCTAAAGGACGGTAGTGAACCAGATGGGGTTTTAAAAACATTTTACTTCTTATATCAGGAAGTGCTTTTGGACACAACCAAACAGCTTCTTTTCTCCCCACCACCCGATCACCCGTGGTGTTTTACATTGATTAAACATTATCAGAAAATCAGCTGTGAAGAAAAACCTAGAATTGATGTTTCGGGTCTGGTGACTCTTCCTCAGAACTCGAAACGTTAACTCTGAGTTTTTCCTTCACAGATGCTGCCAGACCTACTGAGCTTTTCCAGAAACTTCAGTTTTTGTTCCTGATTTACAGGATCCACGGTTCTTTCAGTTTTTAACTAGAAAATCAGCCATGTTTCCAATTGATCAATTTACTTGCAAAGCCTTTGAAGTGTATTACAGAACATAAGTTTCAGGAGCACAATTAGGCCATTTGGTCCATTTGATTCTGCTCTGCTATTTGATCATGGCCGATATGTTTCTGAATCCCATTCTCCTGCTTTCTCCCCATAACCCTTGATCTCCCTTACCCATCAAGAACCTATCAATAACATGGCCTCTGCAGCTCCACAAATTCACCTCCTTTTGGCTGAAGAAATTCCTCTTCATCTCAGTTATAAAAGTTCACCCCTTCACTCTGAGGCTGTGCCCTTAGGTCTTTGTCTTTCCTACTAGTGAAAACGTCATCTCCATGTCCATTGAATGCAGGCCCCTCAGTATTCTGGAAGTTTCAATCAGGTCCTGCCTCATCCTTCTAAACTCCATGAAGTACAGAATCAGTCCTAAACCGCTCCTCATATGACAAGCCCTCCATCCCTAGGATCATTCTTGTAAACCTCCTCTGAATCTCCTCCAATGCCAGCACATCCGTCCTTTAATACGGGGCCCAAAACTGCTCACAGTATTCCAAAATGCATTCGGATCAGACCCTGAAACAGCTTCAGCAGTACATCTCTGCTCTTGTATTCTAGCCCTCTTGAAAATAAGGCTAACACTGCATTTACCTTCCCAACTGCCAACTGAACCTGAATGTTAACCTAAAGAGAATCCTGAACTAAGTCCCTTTGTGTTTCAGATTTCTGAAGCCTTTCCCCGTTTAGAAAATAGTCTATGCTTGTGTTCTTCCTACCAGATTGCATAACCTGACACTCTTTACCCACCTCCCCACCATTGTATTCCATCTGCCACTTCTTTGCCCACTCTCCTAGCATGTCCAAGTCCTTCTGCAGCCTCCTTGCTTCCTCATACCTACTTGACCCTCTATCTATTGTTGCTACTAAGTTTGCAGATGACACAATACCCTTGGTTCCTTCGTCCAGATTATCAATATATGAAATGATTAGTTGTGAAATCAACACTGACCATTGTGGAACTCCACTAGTCACCAGCTGTCATCCTGCTGCCCTTTATCCCTACTCTCTCTGCCAGTCAGCCAATCCTCTATCCATGCCAGTACCTTGCCTCTAACACCATGGGTTCTTATCTAGTTTAGCAGCCTCCTGTGTGGCACCTTGTCAGAAGTCTTCTGGAAATCCAAATAGATCATGACCACTGGCTCCCTCTTGTCTAACCTGCTTGTTAGCTCCTCAAAGAATTCCACCAGATTTGACCTCCCCTTGATGATGCAATGCTGATTCAGCCCTATTTGACCATGCAGTCCCAAGTACTCCATAATCTCGTTCTTAATGATAGACTCTCAAATCTTACCAACGACCAAGGTTAGGCTAATCGGCCTATAATTTCCTGTCTCCTGCCTTCCTCTCTTTTTAAACAGGGGTGTGACATTCGCCATTTTCCAGTCCTCTGGCACCCTCCCTGTCTCCAGTGATTCCCGAAAGATCACCACCAATGTCTCTACAACTCCTCAGCTATCTCCTTCAGAACTCTGGAGTGTAGTCCATCTGGTCCGGGTGATTTATCCACCTTCAGACCTTTCGGCTTCCCCATCACCTTCTCCTCAGTGATGGCCGCTACACACACCTCTGCCTCCTGACTCTCTTAAAGTGCTGGTGTCTTCCCCTGTGAAAACTGATGCACCGTTCCTATTCAGTTCCTCCACCATTTCTTTGTTCCTCATTATTACTACTTCAGCCTCATTTTCTAGTAGTCCAGTGTGCACTCTTGCCTCTCTCAATTTTTACATGTTTAAAACAATGCTTGCAATCTACTTGTATATTACTAGCTAGCTTAATAGAACATAGAACATTACAGCGCAGTACAGGCCCTTCGGCCCTCGATGTTGCGCCGATCTGTGAAACCAATCTGAAGCCTATCTAACCTACACTATTCCATTATCATCCATATGTTTATCCAATGACCATTTAAATGCCCTTAAAGTTGGCGAGTCTACTACTTTTGCAGGCAGGGCATTCCATGCCCTTACTACTCTCTGAATAAAGAACCTACCTCTGACATCTGTCCTATATCTATCACCCCTCAATTTAAAGCTATGTCCCCTCGTGCTAGCCATCACCATCCGAGGAAAAAGGCTCCCACTGTCCACCCTATCTAATCCTCTGATCATCTTATACTCATATTTCATCTTCCCTCTCCTTATAGCTTTTTTTAGTTACCCTCTACTGGTTTTTAAAGGCTACCCAATCTTCGGGCTTCCCACTAATCCTTACCTCATTGGATGCTTTTGCTTTTATGCTGTCCCTGCCTTCCCTTGTCAGCCATGGTTTCCTCATCCTTCCCTCAGTACGTTTTTTTCTTCCTTGGGATGAATTTCTGCTGTGCCTCCCAGATTAGCCTCGGAAACCTCTACCATTGTTGCTCCAGCATCTTCCCCGCTAGATTCCCTTTGCAATCTTGTCCCATGAATTTGAACCCAGCTCAAAGACTGGTTTGGGAGACACAGGTCCGAATTCAGACATTGGTAACCGTACTGGGGAAGGAGGGAGCTGGTTGTGGTGGGACAGGCTCCATCTGAATCATGCTGGGACAAATCACAAATCTACAAAGACCATCAAAGATAAGGAAGAGGTAGGGAGAGGGGAGGAGGCTAAATCAAAGTGGAGTTGGAACCAGATGGGTTTTTACCAAAATTGACAGTGGTCACCATTATCAGAACTAATTTTTGATCTGAGATTTATTAATTAATGTCAATTGCACCAGATGGGCTTTGAACTCCAGTCCCCAGAGCATTAACCAGGGCCTCTGGGTACCAGCCCAATAGCCACACCAATACACCATCAACTCCTTGTAAACTCTTGAACAGATTATGGGACAAAATTAACAAACATCAAAGAAGTCATTAAAATATTGTCAAGTGGCATTGCTGGTCATAAGACCGTAGTCTGTTGTCACATAAATTTCCCATCATCTCCCTGTAGGCATTTAGCATGAGCAATCCCAAACTGACCCCACTGTCTCACTCTCTCCCCATTTCCCTGTATCAATCTCAAATTAATCCCACCACCCCACTCTCTCCCCATAGCCCTGAATCAATACCAAACCAATCTTTGTGTCCCATTCATCCCCAAAGCCATGTATCAATCCCAGACTTGTCCCACTGTTCATACAGGTTCTGATACAGGCTGTTTGTACTTGACAGGGTTGGGAGTTGTTGAAGGTGAAGGTTCTTTGTAGCATTTTACTGACATCTGTTTGAATTTTGCTGGTTGTTTTACAGCAGTGAAGAAGGAACAGTCCCTGGTTGGTGAGTGATGAAATTGTGTCATTTATTATAAAATAGTAAATTGGAGGCTGGTAGTTTTAAGGGGTTAACCTAAGGTCAAATTGCTGAGAGTCAGCAATCTCCAGGGAGAATGGGTGCAAGGGTTGATGTAGAGCAACTTAAGGTATTGACCCATTCTTGAGTGCTCGCATTATGTACGCATCAAGATCCCACAATCAGTTGTAAGATGAGCGACAAATGTAACCAATTTATGATGAACATTTGTGAAAACTTTGGTTCCTTGATCACATCCAGCACCAAAAGACAGGAGCTCAGTTTAATATCTCATCAAAAGGACAGCACTTCTGACGGTGCGGCGCTCCCTCAGCGTCGACCCTCCGACAGTGCGGCGCTCCCTCAGCGCCGACCCTACCTCCTGAAACAGTCAGTACAAGGGCAGCAGTTACAGGGGAACACCACCGTCTGTGGTTTTGGGAAAGACTTCTTCCTGTTTTTGACTAAATGTTCAGCATTTTAATGGAAAGCCCCCAGCTGGACTCTGTCATTCAGTGAAGCACAGACATTTCAGACAGCCTTACAAAGTACTGACAGTGCTTGCTGCATTCAGTGTTTCCTTCAGTATGTGTCTTGATGTATTAATTTCTGTCTTTGTTTCTCTCTCAGTGCCTGACTATGATTACCTCTCTCTGCATGGAGAGCAGGAGCTGCCTGATCAGATTGACTTTGATAAATCATCTACCATTCCCAGAAACAGTGACATCAGCCTGAATTATAGGAAGATGTTCCAGGCGAAGCGGCCAGCTTCCACTGTGAGCCTCTTGGTTGACCCTGAGCCCATGATGACGTCTCACGTTGCTACGATTCGCAGAAAGCCTTCCAGCAAACCGACCTTTCGGCGTGGCACCATCAGCGGTGTGCCCATTCCCATCCGGACTCCCATGGTGCCAATTCCAGGGCCACCTGTGGCCAGCAAGCCGATAGGGCTGGCAGTATCTCGGACGGGCAGTGAGGAGTGTGTTAGCCTGCACGGAGGGCGCTCCAACTTTGTGCAAAGGAAGCAGGGAATCTGCAGCTCGACCCAAAGCCTGAGCATGGCCCAGACCCCTGGCTACTTCCTCCTGCCAGAGAAACCTCTCCAGGTCAGTGGCCTCCAGCGGTCAGCCCCCAACCTCCAGAATGCCCGAGAATTGATGCCAGCAACAAATAATACAGGAAACGGAGTGACTCCGCACCTGGGCCCTGCTGAGGATTCCCAAAGGACTGCAGGGGTCCACACTGTTGCTGCTACTCCCTCACCAACTGAGGGAGGTGATGATGTTTTGTCCATGATTCGCAGAGGGGTCAAACTTAGAAAGACTTTAACCAACGACCGATCAGCCCCCAGGATCGTTTAACACACTCAGTCCCTGGGAGAAGTGCAAACATTTTCAAAGCCAATGACTTTGTCCTCTTGCTCTCTTTCTCTGCGTTTTGTTTTTAAACTGGTGACAGTTCTTTCTCCTCATTCTCAGATTAAACTGGTCATTCACAAATTGTCATCAAGAACCTGTCAAGTGCCAGCTCCCCGCCAATGGCTCAGGAATCTTTGCCTACTCCTGTACCCGATCACAGGATGGGAGGCTGACCCTCTCAGACACTTTGGGTTGGGTTCGGTTGGGTAGGGCGGCTGGATAATGAATGCTGGTGTTTGCAAGACTGTGTCGCACACACCAGCAGGTGATGAGCTGAGACAGCGTTCTAGGGGATAGGTTGCATTGGTCCAGTTACCCCTGGTTAGCAAAGGAAAACCAGGCCAGGTTCCTGCTCCTGATCATCAGTGAATGATTCCTGAAATGGGGCTGTGTAGCTATTGGGTGACAGAGGATCAGGGCGCAATGTCTCACATTGTTGACACACCCAGTTAAGACCCAACCCTCTTTGTTCAGCATTTGGAGAAAACTATTTTGGGGGGGAAACAGCAGCAGAATTTCCATGGATTTTACCCCAGGTACAGCTTCAGAAGAGAATAGCAAGAAATCAGAGTCGGGTGGGGAATGGGAGCATGCACCTCCCCTTCCTGAACTACTGAAACAAACTGACCCTGTTCCTTGCAGCAACATTCACTGCCAGGACCTTGATTCATCCATTTGAAGTGTGTTTTGAGGTGGAGAACATGGAAATAATATTATGACACTTCAGGGGATCTGCTCAGGATTTCAAACTAGAAGCTTCTTACAAAGGATTTGGTTTTAAGTTGCTCTGAGTTTGTAAAGAACACTGTTCACTTGGTGAAAAACTGCAAAATTCACCTTCACACAGGAACTCCAGCAGTTCACTTGTTTTCATGGTTTAAAAAAAATTGCACGGTGGAGGTGTAGCAACAGATTTATTTTCTTTCCTTAACATCAAAAGATATTTATTTGTGTCAAAATTGTGAAAGCTTCTGTTGTACAATGAGTTCTTGCAGCAAATATTGCTGTTCAATCCACCACACTCATTGATGCAAAAGGCTTTAAATGGTAATGAATTAGTTTGTATATGTTAGTTTTTAAATCCCTTTTAAAATTTATCTTTTATTGCTGGGCCTAACGCATTGCTTTGTAGTTCTGGCATCTTTACAGATTGGGCTCAAGGGGTTCAGGGTTGACAGTGTTTAATTATCTGTTCTTTTGGCTTAAGTGGGCAGTGTTTTAAAATTGTCAGTGCATACCAAACTTTAATTGGGTATTAAAGTATGTTAGTTAGCTTGCAATGTGAGCAGTCTGCTAAATATTTTCTTTTAAATGATAGGTTTAGCAAGAAGTGCATCTCGCCTTAGCATTTGTACATCACATTCCTGTAACTGCTGCCTGAGTTGTGTGCACTGTGATGTTATGAAGAGGGTGCCTGTTAACATGCAGCCCTTAACCACTCGCTGCAGCTGGCACCTGCCCCAGCTGGTGCTAAATAATCTCTTCTCATTCACTCAAACAGACCTCAGTGGAACCTCCATTGTATCTCCTGATATCTACAGTGTGAATTCTTGAAGGATCAGAAAACCTGTTGCTAAATAATTGCGTCAGCTGGCATAGAACTGAAATTCAAAACCAAATTTGGGGTACAGCCTATATTTACAGCAATATTTCTGTGCCTCAATATGGTAAACTGCAGACAGTTCAAGTTGTACAGAGCTCTGGGGGTTGGAAGATTTTTAACTCAAATTTTAAGTAAGATGGAGGAATTGGTTGGAATTGTAAACTTAATTGTAGCAAACAGGGAACAGGACTGGAGCTGGTGTGAAATGGGATAGCATCATCAGATATTGATTACTGTTCGTCCCAAACCTCCAGCTCGCTTGAGATGGCTGCAATTATTAAGTGAAGCTTTCACCAGCAGTCTGTGCATTGATTAATGCTGTTTGCACAAATAGCCTTCTTAATGAATGCTTTTTGTTATCATTTTTGATAAATGGAGGGACTGATGACTATATATTAATGTCTAATGGTGATTTCTACAACCTTGAGACAGCCTATCAACATTTATTTGAAAAAGGCAGTTTTCCAGTTTTGATTTGTGCTTACTCTAGGATTGTGCAGTGGTTTTCAGACCTGAAGGATTGTCCAGTTTCCTGCTGCCCTTGTAGAACCTCAGTCTATCATCTTCTCTCTCCAGTCATATTTCTCAAACCAGCTTTCACCCACTGTATCTGATGCTCTGACTCAGTGCCTCACTGCATAAGGGAATACTGCCTGGTAGCTTCTAAAACCTGCTTTATGATCACTGCAAGTGCCTCCTCTTCCCAATAAATGTGCTTATTTCAGTCTCAAAATTAAGGACTATCTGGCTTTGAATTGTTTGTTGAATTCTGGACCCAAGGAACAGTCACAGATCTTTGATTTCCAAACTCCACATTACCGATATGACTGGCTGGCATCTTCCAAAGTAACATCACTGTTTTATAGTTAAAGCTGGAATCACCAACACAAAATCAGAGAAGCCTACCAGAAGGGAGCAGTTTTTTTTTGGGGAGAGTTATTTTGAGTTTATATTTACAATTAAAAACCAAACAATGTACCTCTGATAAAATGATACTAACTAAGGAACAAATTTAGTCTTCAAAGACCAGGTGTCAGCAGGAACTCCACACTTGCTCATTCTCACTACTTGTACTATACCCAGTCTCAAGGACTTCATTTAACCCTGACCATCACAGAGAAGGGGAGTCCCAGATTTCTACTCTGTAGTAAAACCCCTTCCTGACATCATCCCTGAAAGGCCTAGCTCTGGACAACTCCCTCCAGAGAACATACTCTCTGTAACAATTGTAGTGAATCACTTCAAACACCTTGCCTGAATCACCCCTTGCCCTTTAAACTTGAGAATAATTGTTAGGTTTGTGCAACCTGTCCTCAACTCTCTAAGCTCCCCCTGCCCTAAAAGTTGGCAATACATCCCTCTTAAGGTACAATGTCCAGAACGTTCTCTAACTGGGACCTGACCAAGGTTGAGTCAGGCTGAACAATGTATTTGAGGATCGGTTCAGGCTACACCTTGTGTTGTTCAGTGAGGTAAAGTTACCATAGTGACAGAGGACCATAGGGCCTCATTAGAGAGAGAGCTGACTGGTGTTGAGTTTAACCTGTGGGTCACTATTCCTAATGCGAGGGATGTCAGTAAATTTAGGTCATTAATTCTGATATTGAAGATTAGAGTGAGCTTTACTTACCAGAGTGTGTTTCTGCAGCATTTTAAATCTTTCCATCATAAAAAGGAAACACTTATCCAGCTGTCTAGGCATTAAGCAAAGATGACTACCTGAGAGTTTTTGTTGGAGTCTTCTCTCGCCTTCACCATACAGACTTACCCAACATTTAAAAACAGTCAGTGATCATTATTAACTACGTGCTACAGAACTAGGTTCAGTGTCTTAATCCAGCAAGTTCATCCTTTGCACTGTTTGTCTGTCCTAGTTCCATTCCCTCCAGTGCACAGTTCAACTCTTGAGGGAAAGTTCTTCAAAAAACCTCTTCTCAGTGCAAGGTTCTAGAACAGTCATCCATCCTCAGAGCTTCTCTCTACAAAAGAAATCATGAGTGATATCTGTTCCCACTGCTGCCCATGTTGCTGAGGTTCTCAATCAGCCGTGACTCTTCAGTAATGTCTATCACTATTCCCAGTTTTATTTCTCTTGCTTCTGAGTAAAGTTGAAAAATCACTTTTCTTCTAAAATAAACCCAGAACATTAGGCTCTGTTACCATATGAAGTCATACTTGAATTTTCAGTAAAACCCCTAAAATTTTGAACTGTGTTCCTGCAGGTTGTAGTTTGTGGCTTGTGAATTGGTGCTGAGACCGACTTTGTTGACAGTTACACTGCATTTTGTGGTGAATTGCAATCTCTTCACGTAGCTGTGAACCAGCCTTAGCTGAGGTGGCACAGAGCTTAGGAAAGAGCCTTTGGTAAGCACGGTGTTTCATGGAAACCCAACAATTGTGCCAAGCCTCAAGACACAGGAGTATTGAACCAAGGATCAATGAATTGTAGTATTAGCAGACAGTATTTACCGCTTGGCCTTGTCAGATTGAGGATTGTCAAAGGAAAGGAAATAGTGACGGGTGTTAAGACAGAAGGAAGGAGGAGTGGAGGCAGGACAATATGAAAGGATCATTCATTTTGGGAGATTAGAAGTCTGAGCAGTGCAGGGAATCATCCAAAATCTTTCAACCACCCACTAATAAGTCAACAGGTAATCGTAAATCTTTTGCAGTGCAATCAATGTGCCAAATTTTGTGTGTGTGTCCCTTTAAGAGATGTGACTCTCACTCTGCTTGTCATCTGTTATACAGCAGTGCCCAGCAGTTAGTAAGTTCCCAAGAGAGAGATTTGTAAACACAACAGTAGCAATGACCTTGGAAAGCAGGAAGTCAGCAACAATGTCAGATTTCCCAATGCTGTGCTGTTTTAATTCCGGATTGGCAATTTGCTGCTCATTTTAACTGTGGGGTGTACAGTTCTCAAAGTAAAAACCAAAGTTGAAATATTTATATGTAGAAAGAAAGTAGGAATTGCAAAATAAGCACAATCTGTAAATCTCTGCAGTGGCTTGGCCTGTTTTATCCAGCCCAGACTAGCAGAATGAAAGCCTTGAATACGTGTGTAGGCTAGTTATAAGGATTCTGTGTGAGGTGAGTTGGGCAGGTCTCAGCTCACTGACCATTGTGTCATAAACCCACCAACACATACCTAAGGACAAATTGACATTAGTCTAGCAACCCAACTGAAGCTGTCGTTTTGTTACAGCCCTGGTCTTGTGTGGGGAAACTAAGCAAGCGGCATGCTGTCACATTGACTCTGTACTGAGCAGCAGAGTTCTCCTGTCAATACCTTCTCATTAACCTGTTCAAAGGTATAACTTTTGGAGTTTTGGAGTAACCTCCATTTGGAGGAGGTGGGACTTGAATCCAGGCTTCCTGGCTCAGAAGTCAGGACAGTGCCACTGCGCCACAAGGGCCCTCAAGATTGTCCTGACTCGGGCTGTTAATATGAGGACTTAAGCCTCTGTCCATGTGTGTGACTGGACACAGTACTTTAGCTACTTTGCAAATGTGGAGTTTGTATGTCACAATGTCACAACCACAATAACAAGAAAAATGCATCATGTTCTTAGATTTGAGAATCATGTGTTTACTTATCCCAGTGGTAGGATGGAGAAAAACCAGGAAAAAGATTATTCTCAGTGGTTTACAAATCATCCCAGCAGGTTTGTCTGAACATGTTTATAGTCTGAGGGAACAAGCAGTAATAAAGGAATACAAAATGACTGCAGTGAAACGGGACGAGCAATGGAGGAGCCTTGCACAGTGTATGGTTTACTGAGTGATCTTTCAGCTTGGGACACACTGGAAAGAGCATGATTCAATCTCATGTCAGTTATATTCCAAGCAGGGGTGTTTAATACTAACACTGCCAGCCAAAAGTGACACAATTTCATTCCCAACACTCTCACCTCTGACCTCAATAAGCACAAAAGAAAAATACACAGGAGTATTTTTGCATAATCATGGCACTTTAGAACAGAAACCAGTTTACTTAGGTGTAGGTAGAGGGAATTGGTAGAGCTTTTAATCAAATGCCATACACTTTGGACAATTGTGTTAATCATTTGCAAGTATGCCAATCACAATTCAATTTTCTACTCCATCTTACCATGTGGGAAAGTGAAAAAGTCATTATTTTTTGACAAATTTTCATAAAGCATTTTCTTCCAGATTATTGATTATGAAATGTTTATTAAAATTTACATGATTTAAAGAGACAGTATTCCTTTGGGTACAAATTGAACCAAATACTGCAAAGGGACTGTAAACAAAGCAGTGTTTAATTTAAAAACATCCAGATCAAACTTTCAAAGTTTTTTTTTATAAAAAGTTTTGGTATTGGTATAAAATTAACATAAAGCAGTTAAGATCTTTGTGGCCTGACAGTGTATAGTCAAATCATAAATTGTCCTGCGTAGATAGCTGGTTAACAGTAAGTAGGATTGTAAATGGGATTTTGTTACTCTGTCTGTAGTCCAACTACAGTTAGCAAATCTTCCTGGGAATATCTTCAAGTTAGAAGTTAATAGACGAGCTGAGAGTCTGGGTGCAAACTCAACCTCAGTATCTATTCATTTATTTTATTCTCTTACGTTCCATTGTTTTGTTGGGGTGTTCACCAGTTGCCTGTATCTAGCTCACTGGCCGCAAAAGCTCAAAGCAGTCACTGCAAGGTGTTTAAGAGCTGACCCACTGGACTCATTTTCCAATCTTAAATTTGCTTCAGCAACCTGATTTCCATCTAATTCTCCAGAATCTGACTGTGGCTATGAGCCTTCACTGTGTTGTGTTGTGTCTTTGAGCTCCTGTATTTCGATTGAATAAATTTCCCTTTTTTGCAACGGTCAGAATTCCCTCCAGTTACATGCAAGAAATAACTACTTCACCCTCCTAAATGCTCTGATAATCATGACCATGAGGTCAAAGTCATCAGTCTGCTCAGCAATTGAATCTCTTCTGGATTTTATAGCTTTATCATTTTGGGTCTTTTAAAACAATGGTTTTGGAATAAGGACAGTACTGAAAGGGCCAGTGAGTTGGGTAATTCTTGTAGCTCACTGAAGATAAGTTTCAGTATGCAGTTGAGTGTTTGCTTCTTGTCACTGTTCCCAGAGCATACCACCTCACTCCAGAGCAAACTGGTGCAATAATGTTTGTTTTCAAGATTCGCTGTGGTTCAATCCTGACTGTACTGTCTTAAGTAGTGCATTTGGGTTCGAAGACACAATACGAACTCCAGACAACTGAAATCTTCCAAGTATGATAGCCGTTGTAAGAGTTCTTCTGTTTTAGAGTCTCTGACTGAATGGTGGGGGAGGGTTGTCTATTGAGCCATACTGACTTCAGCGACGTCACCATCCTGTGCAAAGTCTTTGCAGCAAAGAAATGGGACATTAGGATCAGATTCTGATTCCAGTCAGCTGAAAATGGTAACAAGGGTTCTTAATTTGCAGAAATCTGATTTCTGAATGTTGTGAATAAATTCCTCAGCATGCTGACCATAAAGAATACTGTCTCTTTAAAGCCCTATTGCTACAGTTGTTTGATTGTTCAGTTGTTTGAGAGTTGATCTCTTTTCCTTTGTTGTTATAAGGATTCTAGTAATTTTTTTGTTTTCTTTGTAGTGACTGCTGCAGCCTTAAATTAAAGGAATAAGGGGGAATATTCTCTCATATCGTGTCTCTCTTTTACTTCTATATTTGAGAACCAATATAGATTTTTAGTCAATAGTCCATCAAATGGAAAAAGTTCTCCCAGACCTTAGATCCTTTGAGATTTCAAAGTTTGGTGTATACAGGATACATTTGCAAATCTGTGGCGTGAGTTCTTCATCAATGTGTGAACATTCTTTTCGATTTCCTGTTGAAATGATTCCTTCAAATTGATTAATGACTAAAATCACAGAAATTTACAACATAGGAAGAGGCCGTTCTGTTTGTTACTCCTCTATTTGTTTGCTCAGACTGATGCTGTGTCCCTACTGTTAATATATTGCCCTGATCCAAAATATTCCATGCTCCAAAAATCCTCTCATAATCCACAGCCTTGAGTCCTGGGCCTATAGCCCGAAGTGGTGGCCAGTATGCTTCCGTCTGACTTAGGTCAGACCTCATTGGTCTCTCTGGATTAGTTGCAATTTGGACAACACAAAGAAAGTGACCTTTGTCTGACTTTAACTTTCCGTCACCACAATGGTGCACTGTGAAACCAACTGGATGGTCAGCACTAGTGTCATCTAGTGCCAGCAAATGGGTCTGGGCCATGACTGCTAGCAGGCAGGAGATGAGCGGGTTTTGTCCAGTTTATGAGGAGTAAGAGGAGGTTGGGTTCAAGTTATGTTGAACTGTGTCATCGCAATTATGCTACTCTGAGTAATCCAGAGTTGTTTCCACCACAATAGTTACACAATTTGAATTCAGTTAAATAAATTTGGAATAAAAAGTTTATATCAGCAAAGGTGACCATGAAAACAACCCAGTGCCATTAAAAACCCATCCAGTTCATGAATGTCCTTCAGGGAAGGAAATCTGCTGCCCTTACCCAGTCTGGCCTGCATGTGACTCCAGACCCAAAGCAATGTAGTTAACCCTTAACTGCCCACTGAAATGGCTGAGAAAGCATCTTCATTGTATTTTAAACACACAATGCGTCGCAGTGGTTTAAGAAGATACTCATCACCTCAACAGCAGTTAGAAATGGGCAACAAATGTTGATCAAGCCATTGATGCCTACACCGGATGATTAAATAACACAAAACACCAGAGTCAGTGCTTTGGGATCCTGCCAGTCTGTGGCCACCTGATCCAGAATGAGGGATCGGGGCCATTAATTTTACGGATCAATTTTTATTTGGGGACAGAATTTAAGTCAAAGCAACTGCAACTGATATTCTCAAAACCATCAATTAATCTTAAAATATTTCACCTGACGTTTACAGAACTCCAGTGGAAGAAAACAACTGGTTCTATCAGTGATAACAAGGTGTAGAGCTGGATGAACACAGCAGGCCAAGCAGCATCAGAGGAGCAGGAAAGCTGACATTGCATCTGCAGTTCCTACTATCTCTGGTTCTATTAGTCTTAGGTTCTCTCAATTGTCAGAATTTTTCTGTGCATTCTAATTGGTCCAGCCTCTGCAATGAATAGCTGTATAGTTTGGTGAAAGTTTCATTTCAGTTCAGGAAGCTGCAGGTGTGCCCCTGTATAGTTGGATTTTCCCAATTTCTGCCAAACGGGTGATGATATTCATCTCAAAGGTTGCGTTGTGTACTCCTGTTACACGGAATGCTCCACCTAATCGATTGTTTTCCCAATAGTGATGCCAGTTGCCGTTCCTGTCCCCACCGTAGCCAAATACCAATAGCTGTTGGTTAAAATATGGTTAATTAATGACAATAAAATTTTTAATGGGAACTTTTCAACCTTTTGTGCTTTGGGCATTTCTCTGAAGAGTGAGCAGCAGGGGACAGCATAGTCACAGGTTCTTTCCATCAGGAGTAGCTGTAACAAAGATGGCCAGAGACCTTACTGAAACCTGTTGTCTCCAAACTGTGACCTTTGTCACAGAATGGACAACAAGATAAATTGACCAATGGGCTCAGAATTAGCATCCGTATTATAGGCATCAAATATCAAAAAATAGGCATTTACAAAATGCATTTCAAGGTGTCAAATATCTCAGACTGGTTCAATTCTTCAATAGTCATGAAGCAAATTCACTTACTGCACTGGCGCTATGGCCTTACCTTTCATCCAGAGATTCCCAATCCCACTGTGGGGATCATTTCGTTATTTTTGAGAAACATACAAAGTTATTACTTATACAGTAATCTATCATAGAACACACCCGACAGGCCATTCAGTCCAAGTGGTGTCTGCTGGAGTTTATGCTCCATACAGGCTGCCTCATCTCACACTGTCAATATCTTTCGTTCCTTTCTTCCTCCTGTACTTGTTTAGATCCATTTAAATGCTTTTATTCATTTCAACTACTTCCTATGGTGGCAAGTTCCACATTCTAACCACTCTGGGTAATGAAGTCTCTGGATTTGTTCAGACTGTCAAAGATTGATGCCTTTGAGTTAAACCATTAGAACTAGGAGCAAAAGTAGACCATTCAGGCCATTCAATGAGATCATTGCTGATTTAATCATCCTCAACTCCACCCTCTTACCTTTTCCCCATTCCCCTTACTGATTAAAAATCTGTCTCTCTTAGCCTTGAATATATTTAGTGACCCAGCCTTAACAGCCCTCTGCAGTAAGGAATTCCAGAGATTCACTACCATCAGAGAGAAGAAATTCTTTGTCATCCATCTTAAATGGATGACCCCATATTCTGAGATTGTGCCTTCTGGTCCTAGTCTCTCCCACAAGGAGAAGCAACCTTTTCACACGTAGCCTGTCAAATCTTCTAAGAATCTTCAATGTTTCAAAGAGGTTTCTCCTCTTGTTCTTCTAAACTGTAATGCATACTGGCCAATTCCTCATAAGACACACCCTCTGTACCTGGGAACAGCCTAGTGAACCCTCTTGGACTGCCTCCAATGCCAGTCTATCTTTTTTTTAAGATACAGGGACCAAAACTGTTCACATTATGGGGTGGGACGGTGGCTCAGTGTTTAGCACTGCTGCCTCTCAGTGCCAGGGACCAGGTTCATTCCCAGCCTCGGGTGACTGTGTGGAGTTTGCACGTTCTCTCTGTGTCTGTGTGGGTTTCCTCCCACTGTCCAAAGATGTGCAGGTTAGGTGGATTGGCCATGCTAAACTGCCCATAGTGTTCGGGGATGTGTAGGTGAGAGGTGTTAGCCATGGAAGATGCAGGGTTGCAGGGATAGGTTAGGGGGATGAGTCTGAGTGGACTTGTTGGGCTGAATGTCCTGTTTCCACACTGTAGGGATTCCATGATCTAATGGTCTAATAAGAGCCCATGGCATTGGAACTAGTAGATTACTTGGGGTTCTCATTGAGATTTATAAAATTCTAACAGGACTGGACAGGGTAGATGCAGGGAGGACGTTCCCGATGGTGGGGTGTGTCCAGAACCAGGGGTCACAGTCTGAGGATTCGGGGTAGACCATTTAGGATGGAGATGAGGAGACCTTTCTTCACCCAAAGAGTGGTGAGACTGTGGAATTCATTACCACAGGAAGCAGTTGATGACAAAACACTGAATGTATTCAAGAGGTGACTAGATATAGCGCTTGGGACGAATGGAATCAAAGGTTATGGGGAGGAAACAGGATTAGGCTACTGAGTTGGACGATCAGCCATGATCGTGATGAATGGCAGAGCAGGCTCTAAGGGCCGAATGGCCGCCTCCTGCTCCTATCTTCTATGTTTCTATGATTATTCCAGCTATGATCTGGCTAGTGCCTTGTATAGTTCTAGCAAAACCCCTCTACTTTCATACTCCATCTGTGAAATAAAGGTCAATATTCCATTTGCCTTCCTTATTATATAATGCTAGCTTGTTGTGATTTATGCACAAGAATGTCTAAATCCCTCTGTTCCACAGTTTTCTGCAGTTTCTTTCTCTATTTAATAATATTCAGCTCCTCTATTCTTGCTGCCAAAGTGCATAACCTCACATTTTCCCACATTATATTCTATCTGCTAAGGTTTTGTCCACTTGCTTAACCTGTCTACCACCCTCTCCAGATTCTTTGTCATCCTCACCACTTGCCTTCCTATCTATTTGTGTCATCTACAACTTGGCGATTGTATATTCACTCTCCTCATCCAAGTCATTAATGTATTTTGTAAATAATTGTGGCCCTAGCTCTGATCCCTGTGCACTCCTCTGGTTTCATCCTGATAATGCCCCCTTATTCCAACTCTGTCTTCTATTAGTTATCCAATCCTCTAATCATGCTAATCTACTAATTCCAACGCTATGGATTCTTATTAGACCATAAAATATAGGAGTAGTATTAGGCCATTTAGCCCAACAGGTCCTGCTCAGTCATTCAATCATAGTTGATGTGTTTCTCCACCCCATTCTCCTACTTTCTCCCTGTAACTCTTGATCCCCTTACTAATTAAGAACCTATCTATCTCTGACTCGGCCTCCACAGCCCTCTGCAGCAGCAATGAGTTCCACAAATTCACCGCCTTCTGGCTGAAGAAATTTCTCTTCATCAGTTCTAAAGCATCATCCCATTCGCTCTGACGCTGTGCCCTCAGGTCTTAGTCTCTCCTACTAGTAGAAACATCATCTCCATGTCCATTCTATCCAGACCTCTCCGTATTCTGTAACTTTCAATCAGATTCCCTGTCATCTGCCTAATCTCCATCAAGTACCCAACCCAGAGTCCTCAACCACTTTTTGTATGACCAGCCCTGGGATCGTACATGTGTAAACTTCCTCTGGACCCCCTTCAAGGCCAGCACATTCTTCCTTAGATACAGGGCCCAAAACTGCTCACGATATTCCGAATGCAGACTGACTAGAGCCTTATGCAGCTTCAGTAACACATCTCTTGTATTCTAGCCCATGAAATGAATTAGCCTAATGTGCGGTATCGTATTCAAATACCTTCTGAAAGCTGAAGTATGTTACATCCACCGCTTCCCCTTTATCCATCCTGCTTAATCCTCAAAGAATTCTAGTAAATTTATTCAGCATGATTTCCCCATTCCTGAAGCCTTGCTGTCTCTGCTTCTTTATTTCTAAATGCTCTGCTATTTCTAACATTCTAACATCTCCCAATAACAATAAGTAACCTGTAATTTTATTGTCTCTTTTTTTGTTTAAATAAAGGTGTTATATTGGCTGTCTTCTAATCTTTTGGGACTTTTCCAGAATCTAAGGATTGCTTGAAGAGCATACTTTTTCCTGCAAGAGGAAACATTCTCTCTCTCTCTCTCTCTCTATCCTTTCTATTAAAACCATCATCATTTTAAAGACCTCTACTGGGTCACACTTCAGCTTTCCTTACTCAAGAGAAAACAGACCCCGCCTGTCAGCCCCTTCCTGATATTTGTGCCCCTGTACTTTGGTTTATTTTATCTTATATTTATGGTCTCTAGGTTTGGATTTCCTCTATAAATTTAAATGTCTTTATCTTTATTAATAGCCAATGAATTATAAAGATCTTTATCAGGTTGAGAGAAAAAATCTCTGACGCCGATCTTTCCAGAGTGTTTCACATACAATAGGAAGGTGAGGAAAGATGCTAGAGTCACTGCATTTGATGAGATCATAGCATAGGAATGAAGTAAGACATTAGCCATCAATGAGCAGCTCTCAAAATCACTGACTTGTTAAATAAGCAGATGCACCTGTCATTGTACAAGATGGATTCTACAAGATGCCCTCCAATACTTCACCAAGGCCCTTGTAACAGCACCTTCCAAACCCACGACCACTTCCATCTACAAGGACAAAGGCCACAGATATGTGGAACACCATAACCTGCAAGTTCCCCTCCAAGCCACTCACCATTGTGACTTGGAAATATATTGCCATTCCTTCAGTGTCACTGGGTCAAAATCCTGGAATTCCCTCCCTAAGGGCATTGTGGGTTAACCTACAGCACATGGACTGCAGTGGTTCAAGAAGGCAGCTTCCCCACCACCTTCTCAAGGGCAATTGTTTCCGTGCTCTATGATGCTATAGTTAGGAACGGGCAATAAATGCTGGGCCCAGCCAGACACCAACATCCCATGAATAACATTTTTAAAAAGTGGTTGTGAAGTTGCTGCAGTAGGAATGCATCACCATGTGAACGGTAAAATAAAAACAGTTCACTGCTAGCTACAGACCAGACTTTTGGAAAGCTATTGCCAATTAATAACTCACCACTCTCCTTCAAACCAGCATTCCTCAGAACCTGAAACGTTAACTGTTTCCTTCTGCACAGATGCTGCCTAATGTGCTCAGTGTTTTCCAGCATTTTCTATTTTATTTCAATGGCAAAGCACTCACTCAGCAGTTTGCTTCCCTGTTTGAACCAGGTTAATCGAAAGAATCAAGCCTCTGTCAGCACGAGCAGATCAATCATACTTGGGTTTCTCTGCCTTCACCTGATCACAGATGTGAAGCCCAAAGATGAGAGCCAGCATCCCAGTGGATGGGTACCTTCCGTGGTGCTCAGTCCATTCGTCATGGACATACTTAAAGAAGCCGGGATGAAAGATGATGACCTGGTGGGAGAGTGATGTGGGAAATAATGATCTGCTCTTTAACAGAGATCGCAGAGAAAATATTCACAAGAGGACAATCTGAACACTCAAATGATTCTGATCAGTGTCAGCTTCTGTACCCACAAACACCATTTATACAGATACACACACACTTGTATATGCACATTTTCTCACACCTATGCACATTAGACTGATCTACCTCAATCACATGGACATGGTACATGTCTCTATTACAATAACATCTCACCTTGTTGCTATCAGCAGTAATGTGACCTTTCAGTTTCCTGTGTGTCCTAGAAAGGAGAAACACAAGGGAGGGGTTTACTGTCTGTGTAACAGAATGAGGAATGCAGTTAGCAGCCAACAGGACCCGCTTCACCTGGAACAAAGCAGAGAAAGATGGCACCTGGGGAACACCAACACACCTAGAAAAACACCAGAAAACACAACAGGAGTGAAAGCAGGAAGCACAGCTTCAGAGCAACATTGGAAACTGGGGATCCATCGAAATATTCAGAACTGAGCTTGAGAGATTTTTATTGGGTAATTAATATTGAGAGACATGGAGGGAAGATGGGGAAGCAACTGAGGGACAGATTAGTCAGGACCTAAAAATGGAATAACAGTATGTACTTCCCCAAACACTTTAAATCAGCTTTGCTAAAATCCGTGAGGTCTACATCAAAGATGTTCCTGTCATCAACCTCAGTCATATTGATATGAAAGGCCTTTGGAAATTGATCTAAAGAGAGCTGAATAAAGTCGCAAAGGGTAAATGAAATGTCCTGGGCTATGGGAGAGGGCTAGGGACGATGGATTTATTGATGGATGAGACAAGAAGGCTCCTGATGGGGTGCATCACTCTCTGATACTCAAAGGTGATGACAGAAGGAGGGAAGGTGGAATTTAAAGAGAGAGCAGTGATTTTGTGCAGCATCACAGGAAGACAGCAACGGCTTGTATTTGTATAATACCTCAGAATGTCTCAAAACAAATTTCTCAGGCAGTTAAACATGGGAAGCTTGGTTGCCAGTCTGTTCTCTGCAGGACACTACACACCAATCTGCTATTTCCCAGATGAGATGCTTATTTACTGTTGTTGGTGGATTGGCCAGAATGAAAGATAACTGCAGACTTGTCTTTTTCTCAGATAAGTACCTGTTACGTACACTCAATAGGGGTGCGACAGGTGGGAGCGGTTGTGTCAAAATCTTATCCAAAGGCACGCACTTATGTTACAGCAACATTCTCTCTGTGCTGCATTGGAGTGTCAGCCTAAGAATTTTCTCTTCAGATTCTGGAGTGGGATTTGAACCGACTGACTCAGAACCAAGAATCAACCACTGATATGAGCTGGCATTGCAGTGGAGGGGTCAGAAGCCAAGTTGGGATAAGATGTTGGGTATTGTGCAAAGACACGAGCTTGACGAGGCTGAGGGAAGCCACTGGAGTGTTGAGAGACTGTGTTGAGTCTGATAACATTGGCTTACCCAGGAGAAAGAGACCCAGCAGACAGATACAATCAGCAGATGGACTTTTACAACAAATCAGTGAATCAATGGTCACTTACTAAGATTAGTTTTTTTTAATTCTATATTTTTTTAGCTAACTAAATTTAAATTCCCAGCTGCATGGTGTGATATGAACGTTTCGCCAGGTCATCAGCCTCATCTTTGGGATTACCTGTCCTGTGATATAATCAGGCTGCCACCAATCCCACTTTGTTCAATTATCTTCAACTGTTTTTAAACTTAAAGCTCTGACATTCTTCCTCATATGAGAGATCAGGACATGACAAATCCTGCCCAAAAACAACGGCAATTAACTGAGGAATCCTTTCACGATTGAGGATTACATTCATCTCAAGGTTGTGCTTTACTTACAGAAAGAAGTTTTTGTTCGTAAGGACATTTGCAAACCACAGTAGGTCATGAGGTTTAAATGGGACCAGCACCAGATGGACATTGGGTTCGAGGTCCTTGGCACTCTCTGGGTACATGAAGTGGTGCGTGGTTTTCTTGCCGACATCAGACTCATGTCCCTTGGTCACTGCCCTGTTCATTCTAAGTAGAAAACCAAAGAGTTACTGCTGTAGACTGATTAACACATCTTCAAAATCAGTCTTCTACCAAAACACTGAAAATAGGAGCAGGAATAGGCCATTCAGCCCTCTGAGTCTATCCCACCATTCAATATGATCATAGCTGATCATCCAACTCAGTCCCCTGCTCCTGCTTTCTCTCCCAAACCCTTTGATCTCTTTATCCCCAAGAACAATATCTGATTCTTTCTTGAAAGCATTTAATATTTTGACCTCAATCACTTTCTGTGGCAGAGAATTCCATAGGCTCATCACTCTCTGGGGGAAGAGTTTAAGTAAAATTTAAGGGGAGGCACAGTGGTTAGCACTGCTGCCTCACAGCACCAGAGACCTGAGTTCGATTCCAGTCTCAGGTGACTGTCTATGTGAAATTTCCACATTCTCCTTTTGTTTCTGTGAGAATCATAGAATCCCTACAATGTGGAAACAGGCCCTTCGGCCCAACAAGTCCACACCGAACCTTGCAGTGTTCCACCCAGAGCCATCCCCTATAAAACCACCTAATCTACACATCCCTGAACACTATGGGGCAATTTAGCATGGCCAATCCACTTACCCTGCACATCTTTGGCCTGTGGGAGGAAACCCACGCAGACACAGGGAGAATGTGAAAACTCCACACAGACAGTTGCACGAGGCTGGAATTGAACCCGGGTCCCTGGCGCTGTGAGGCAGCAGTGCTAACCACTGAGCCACCGTGCCACCCATGGGTTTCCATCAAGTGCTCTGGTTTCCTCCCATAGTACAAAGATGTGCAGGTTAGATGGATTAGTCATGGTAAATTGTCCTGTTTGTCCAGGGTTGTGCAGTCTAGGTGGGTAAGCCATGGTTAAAAACCCCATGCTAGGTCATGGGGATAGGGTGAGGGTGTGGGATACTCTTCAGAGGCTCAGTGCAGGCTTAATGGACTGAATGGTCTCTATCTGCACTGTAGGATTCTATGAAAATGTTTAAGTACAGGGGGTGATGACAGGCCAGAACTTGAGATTCCCAATCTCCTAACATCCCAATTTCCATAAAGTTCAGGGGTTAGTGTTCAGGGATGGGTAGCTTAGGTAGGTTATAGGGGGATGGGTCTGGGTGGGATGCTCCAAGGGTCAGTGTGGACTTGTTGGGCCGAAGGGCCTGTTTCCACACTGTAGGGATTTCTATGATTCACATAGTTTGGCATGGAACATAAGCTACTTTATGACAGTAACAGTCAATAATGGTGTACTCGATTCACTGCACTGTGTTATTTGTGGGTCACTCAGTGTGTGTGTGTGATGGATGGGTGACTGATTTCAGCAGAAGATGCCCCATTTCACTCAGTAAATGAACAATTTCACAGTCTGTTAAAAGTGCCCACAATCTCACTGAAAATTGTCCAGCCAACATGTGCAGGATAATCCTGAATGGGTAAAGAACGACACCAACAATCAGTTTAGGCTTGTCAGTCAGGCTCACTGATGTGTACTGGAAATTAAATATATTATTGGACAGCGCTCTGTTCTTTGTAGACGGAAAGAATATTTTCATGCACAGAAAACAAAAAATGCTGCAGATCACAGAGAGTCAGGCAGCATCCATGGAGAGAGAGCAAGCTAACATTTCAAGTCTAGACAATTCTTCAGCAAAGCTACCAGGACTCAAAACATTAGTTTATTCTGTCTCCACGGATACTGCTTGACCCACTGTGATCTCCAGCACTTTTCATTTCCATTCCAGCATCTGCAGTAATTTTTCCCTACTTTCATGCATAGGGTCTGTAACAACTCAACGAACTTAGCTGACTGTCATTCGCTAGTTCATTTCTCAGGGTAATGTCTGGGCCAATGAGAGTCAACCTTTCTGAAGCCTGGCAGCTAATATCAATAAGGGTATTAATGAGTGTATTCTCTTTGAGAACACCAATCAGATTCCACTTGCTAACCAATCAGCACCCTCCTATGCAGTATTAATGTTTGTTTTCTCCTTGAATTGATATTCTTGCAAAATGTCCTGATGAGTACAGGATTAAAAACCCTCAACAAAATGTGTCTTTTTTCAGCAATACTTATGTTCTGTACAAAAAGACTAATTATAAACCTATCATACTATACTGGGGAATGATCTTTGTAGTTCCTCTTCACTGAGATTGCAACCTTAGGACAAGTGACTAAGTGGATTCAATTGACCTTCTGCTCATTGGGCCACAATCAGGACAGAGGATTTATCAGGGTTAGGAAGAGATGAACCACAATAATTTAAAATTAAATAAAAAAATCTCTTCCACTTGCAGCAATCCTTTTAAGGTCTACTGAGATATTCAGTGAATATGCAGTGGTACAGGATATGTCCTGCCCTTTAGTATTTCAGAGTGATGCACATTTTGACCAGGTTTGAGCTGGCCTTCAGGCTGCCCAGGGCATTGATGTCGAGAATCACTAGGAAATGGAAACAGCAGGAATGTATATTTCTTGTTATGGAGCTAGGAAGGTTTGGAATGCCACTGCCACCTTACTGTTGAACCAAGAGAATTAGAAGTGGCCCTGATAGAATATAAAACTTGCCTTATTACATAGTCCTGTGAGTCAATCAACTGCCCATAATTTGATCCTTTGAGGTTCCCAGAATTTCCAACAATGGCACATCTCCTGCAATTACAGGAATGGCCATTCTTTATAGGATTGAACTTAGGCATGACCTCAAAAAGCCTGCTGTACATCATACTCAGCCTCGGATGCCTGGACTGTAACCCCTGAAACAGAGAAACAGCAACTGTAGCTATGCAGGCATTTATCAAAAATAAACACTCAGAGTGGGTCAAGGGTTAGGATCAGGGTCAGAGTAGATCAAAGATTAGGATCAGGGTCAGTGTGGGTCAAAGATTAGGATCAGGGTCAGTGTGGGTCAAAGGTTGGATCAGGGTCAGAGTGGATCAAAGGTTAGGATCGGGGTCAGAGTGGGTCAAAGGTTAAGATCAGGGGTCAGAGTGGGTCAATGCTGGGATCAGGGGTCACCATGGGTCAGATTGTGGATCTGGGGAGAATCAGGGTCAAAGGGAATGGAGATGATGTGGAATTTGGGATGGTTTAGGGTCAGAGACCGTGGTTCAGGTTGTGGGGTCAGGTAAGTGAGGGTCAGGGACAGATGGTGGGATGGGACGAGGGTTAGACAGAGTGGCCCAGTGGTGGATTGAGGGTCAGTGTAATGTGGGATTGGAAGCTGACAGAGGTCAGTGAGCACACGGAGAGCTGGAATGCAGCAACAACAGAGTGATGGGAGATTACAAAGGGGGCTCTGGGGGAGATGACTGGGAGAGGTTTGAGCTGGCGCATTCTGGAGGCAACAAAACAATATCTGAGGGTTTCGGCAGCTGATTGGCTGACATAGGAACAATGACAAGAGTCGGAAGGAGCAGTTTTTCAAACGGTACAAATTTGTGAAATTTACAAAAAGCTGGACACTGAATAACAACAAGAGGTTTCTCAGAATTGAATCCGATTCTGAATCCAGTGAATCCTGGTATATTCAAAGAGAATTGTCTGGATATTGATCAAGTGGCTGGAGCCCCCTCCACCTGCAGCGCTGAGGTTAATAACGGCCTTTCTGCAGCCAAATGCAATGCCTTCATAACTGAATAGGAGGCAAAACAAAGCCAACTCTACCTTAATCCACTCCACATTCCTTTGTCCCAGCTGCCTCCAACACATTCCCTGCATCAACCCATCCACTTGTCCACTCCCAGAGATTTCTCCCCAGAGGTTATTGGCCAATGTTACTGAGGATTCCATACTAAGAGACCTACACAGCACAAGTCTAACCATTGCCTACACTCACAATGGAGCTGCGAAAAAAAGGGATGACAAGAGGGTTACAATTTCAAGATTGTCAGCAAGAAAGTCAGGGGTGAGATGAGGAGAAACTTCTTTACTCGGAGAGTTGTTAGGATTTGGAATGCGTTGCCTGGCACAGTGATGGAGGAGGTTTCCAATGGAGGTTTCAAAAGAGAGCAGGATATATATTTGAAAGTGATGAGTTTACAGGGCTACAGAGATAGGACTGGAGAATGGAACTAGCTGGGTAGCTCTTTCAGGACTGATACAGACACGATGGGCTGAATGGCCTCCTGCTGTGCTGTAAAATTCTATGATTCTATGATAAATTGAAGGAGCATTGCACTAGCACGTCTTCAGGAGATGGAGAAGAAATTGATGGAGAAGAAATTGATGGAGGTCTTGCCTTCATCAACTTTGAGGGTGGGTTCATATATAAAATGGAACCATTGACACTCTGACACATAGCAGTGTGATAACAGACATAACCCTCTCCTACTTCCCAACAATCAGCTATTTATCCAAAGAGAAGGCATTTAGGTTGGAGAAGGATTATGAGGAGAGTGTCACACTGTGGTAGAGAACATTAAAATACTGACAACAGTAAGACCAAGCGGCTCATATGCCTTCTGTTCTGATCAAAGACAGGCTGTGGTTACACCAATGTAAACCACCATGACTAGTGAAGATAAAGATATATGGGCAGGAACATTGGAGCCTGATCTCCTGGAGCTCATTGACCAGGGGATAGGAAAAGAATCAGAATCAAGCTTGAATAGGCAACACCTGTCAAGAAATGTCAATCTGTCAAGAACTGTCATAACATTTTAGGCACTGTCAAAGTCATCAAGACTTGTCAAAGTGTGTTTTTCTTCATCAACAAGAGTTCTTTGGTCAATAAAATGCAGTGTGCAAAATAGAACGTTAAATAATAGAGCTTTATTTCTTTCCTGTGTGATTTGGGTACTTGGGGATGCTCGATGAGTTGGTATGTAGGTGCAGGGGGAGATGTGGTGGATGGAAGTCACATTAAATTGGCATAGTGTGCATGGAGGGGGGTTACAGGTGTGAATGGTATGATAGAGCGTGAGGATTGAGGGCTGGAGGAATGTTTTAATTTTTCATTTGGATTTTTAATCATGGTGAAGGCCTTTCACCTTTCACCTTTCAGCCAGATTGCCTTGGCAACTCACAGCTCTTTCTATGTCACACGAACTGACTCCTAGATCAGCTCCATGCCCCATCCCTCCCACCCCCACTACCACCCAGAAAGGGTCAGCAGCTTATTTTTAAAAGTCAGGTTCAAGGCGTTGAGATTTCTCTTGTCTCTGCAAACATGACCTAGGAACAAGTATTTGATTCTGAGTTTCCACAAAGGGATTATACTTCTTTTTTTCATAATTTTATAACCAACCGCTTCAGATAAGTTATCTTAAACATCTGAGGTATGTGGGACTTGCTCCCAAGCCTCCTGGTAAAGACGAAGGGGCCCTACCACTGCACCACAAGATCCCTAAAGGGAACATGCTTCATTCTCTGCTTTAATGTCCTTCATCTGTAAACAAAACACAACAACTACTTCACTGTACTCTGCGCCCTATCCTTTTGACAGGTAACATATGTAGAAAAGTAAGAATGCCAACAGTGCCTGTTAAACCCACAAACACTACCATCCCAAAGGACAAGAATAATGGGAGCACCACCCCCTGCCAGTTCCCCTCCAAGCCACTCCCCATCCTAACTTGGAAATATATCGCCATTCCTTCACTGTCGCTGAGTCAAAATCCTGGAACTGCCTTTGCAGCACCTTCACAGATGGCAGTGTTTTAAGCAGGTGCCACACCAACACCTTCAGGATTCATTAATGATGGGCAACAAATGCTGCCCACAGCCACAAAACCAATTTTTAAAACCATTGCTGGATTGACTTACCAACCACCACAGGAGGATGTCCTGAGGGATATTTTCATTCCTCCTGGTTAACTGTGGCTGAATACTTGAATTAAACCGCACATCAAACCAACGAGAGATACCTCGGTCTGAAATACAGGTCTCACAGCTACAGGTTTTCTTCAAAGACTGAGGTCCTTCCTTCACCAGGCTGTGACTGTACAGAAAGTATAAGGGAAGTACGAAACAACAGATGACAAGGAAAAACTTTTTCCTTTTGTAAAACTTCCTGCAATTGTAGGCCATGTTGCAGCTCAGCTGGGAATCTTTCAGCTCCTCCTGCTCCTCAAGATGTGGATGGTGTTAAAATCCAGCTCAATAACCAGGGAGCTATGATCTTAGATGGTCTTTTTCATCCTTCAACATCATTCTGAACTGAAAATTTTTAAAGTAGAAGACAGGAGTTTAGTCAAATATAGTAGGAACTGCAGATGCTGGAGAATCCGAGACAACAAGGTGCAGGGCTGGATGAACACAGCAGGCCAAGCAGCATCATAGGAGCAGAGATC